TCTATTTTTTGTAATCAAGTCAATCAAATTGTATTCACAGAATTTGCAGTTGCAAGTGAATAATAAAGTTTTCCACAGTTTGTGGGCAGAGAGAAATTCTGCAGAAAATAATTGTCTTCTCTTTTCTTTTCATATTTTTATTGTCATTGTATGGTGATATCAATCTTGTTCATCAAGATTGATAGAAATTCATCATAGGTTTTGGTGGATTTCAAAAATTTGGTATAAGAAGTTCTGGTTGAGTGATTCAAGGAAAGAACGATCGAGGAAGAAGAAGAAGAAGATCACGATGGTGCTGAATTACGCTAACAAAATTTTTCCAGCAAGTCTCTCAATTCTTAAAGGTGATAACTATGAGAATTGGTGCAAACAGATGAATGTCATATTTTGTTTTTAAAGACTTCGAGATCTTGTGAAACATGGATTAGAACCACTTGATGAAGTCGCTTCAAAAGAAGAAGAAGCAGAATACAGAGAATCGAAGAAGAAATTCACCAATGTGTCAGCCCAGAAAATTTTGAAAAGGTTAGTGATGTTGAATCTGCAAAAGAAACTTAAGAGATTCTCAAGAAATCGTTTAGAGGCGCTGAGAAGGTGAAAGATGTGAGATTACAAACCCACAAAAGAACGTATGAATTGCTCCAGATAGAAGATAATGAGAGCATATATAATTTCTTCACTAGGTTACGGAACTAATGAATCAAATCAAAACTTGTGGAGAGACGTTAACAACAAGAGCTATTGTTTCGAAGATCTTAAGATCTTTGGTTCCAAAGTTAGACCATGTGGTAGTTGCCATAGAAGAGTCGAATGATATGTCATCTTTGTAGAAGGAAGACCTTCAAGGGATGCTTGAATCTCACGAACAAAGAATGACTGAAAGAGATGCATGCAAGTCGAAGAGTGATGTGGCTTTGTAGGCTCAATCAGTAACAAATAAGAAAGGCAAAGGAAAAAGGTTTGACAACAAAGATAGAGGTGGCTACAATAATTCAACTAGTAGAGGAAATCAGCACGAAGATAATGTGTCAAATCAGAGAAGACTATACCAAGGCAACCAAAGTGGTGGTGTTTCAAATAGAGGAAATGGTGGTGGTTGAAAGCCTGACAAGAGTCACATTCACTGTTTCAATTGTCAGAAGTATGATCACCATTCGAGTGATTGTCCAGAAAAGCGAAAGAATCAAGAAAGTGATGCAAAGTTTGCAAAACATGAAGAAGAAGAAGAGATGTTGCTGATGGTCACAAGAGATGGAGATAAATTCAAGGATCAGTGGTACTTGGATTCATGATGCTCATCACACATGTTTGGAAGGAAAGATTGGTTTGTCAACATAAAATCCTCGATGAAGAAAACAGTGAAATTTGCAAATGACAATATCCTAGGAGCTGAAGGTATTGGTGATGTTATGATTACGAGGAAAGATAACAAGAGGTCAGTAATTTCCAATATGTTGTACATGCCAGGCATGAAGAGAAATTTGCTCAGTATAAAGTAGTTGGTCGAAAATAACTATAAAGTGTCAATTAAAGACAAGATGATGAGAGTCGTCGATGTAAATGGAAGGTTAATCTTGAAGGCTCCCATGTCTCAAAATAGAACCTTCAAGATTGAACTTAATATGATGGAGCACAAGTGCATTTCGAATGCAACTAGCAGAGATGAATGGATATGGCACCATCAATTAGGCCATCTCAACTTCAGAGACATCAGAGATTTGAAGAGACGAAATATGGTTTCAGGATTGCCAAAAATTTACATTCCAAACGAGGTATGTGAGGAATGTGTGCAGGCGAAGCAGAACAAGAATAGCTTTAGCAAGGATGCAGGAAGCAAGTCGAAGGCTATTCTCGAAGTCATATACTCTAATGTATATGGACCAATCCATGTGGATTCGATGGGAGGTAACAAATATTTTGTTACATTCAGAGATGATTTCAGTCGAAAACTGTGGGCTTACCTGATCAAGAATAAAAGTGAAGTGATAGAGGTATTTGCCAAGTTTAAGTATATGGTCAAAATACAAAGTGGTCGAAAGCTCAATGTTTTGAGAACTAATGGTGGATGAGAGTATGTGTCAAAAGACTTCGACAAATTATGTGAAAAAGAAGGGATTGTGCAGGAGGTGGTGCCACCCTACACTCCACAATAGAAAGAAAGAATTTAACCATCATGAATATGGTGAGTAGTATGTTGAAAGACAAGCATTTACCTAAAGAGTTTTGGGATTAAGTTATGTCGGCTGCAACATATATTTTGAACATATGTCCTATGAAGAAGCTGAAAGGAATTACTACAGAAGAATATTGGTATGATACGAAGCCTAGCTTAAGTCTTCTAAAGGTATTTAGATTTGTAGCACATAGACATGTGCCTGATCAGTTGAGAAGAAAACTTGATGATAAATCGAGTCAAATGATCCTAGTAGGATATCATTTGACAGGAGGTTACAAGTTGTTCGACCCAGTGAACAAGCAGATTATGATCAGTAGGGACATGATCATAGATGAGTTTAAAGAATGAGTTTAGACTTAAAATGTCAAGAAACATTTAGTGAGAATATTGCTTGAAGAACCAGAAACTCAAGTCAAAAGAAAGGTTTGACAAGAGGAACCAACAATTATAGATCAACCAAGTACAAGCAGACCTCAAAGAACAAGACTCAAGCCTGCAAGGTTGCAAGACTGTGTGATTATATCAGATGATGTGGTTGATAATGAAGGTGAGTTGATACATTATGCTTTTTATGCAGATGTCGAACTAGTCAATGCAGCTGAAGCATTGAAATATTCAAAGTGGATGAAAGCAGTGAACGAAGAATGAAGTCTATCGAAGACAATAACACTTGGTCACTTGTCGAATTTCCTCACGGCAAGAAGGAAATTGATGTCAAGTGGGTATACAAAGTGAAGATGAATTCCAAAGGGGAAATAACTCGACACAAAGCAAGACTCATGGTGAAAGGATTTCCCCAGAAAGAAGGAATAAACTTCGATGAAGTTCTTGCACCTGTTGCTAGAATCGAAACAACCAGGTTAGTTGTTGGTCTAACAGAAATAAATAGTTGGCACATATGTCAGATGGACGTGAAGTGTGCATTCTTGAATGGATCCTTAGACAAAGAGGTTTATGTTAAACAATCAGTTTAATTTGTGAAACATGATGAAGAGAGAAAGGTGTACAGGCTGCATAAAGCCCTGTATGGATTGAAACAAGCTCCAATAGCTTGGAATAAGAAGATTGATGGTTTCCTAAGGGAGAAGGAATTTGTGAAGTGCACAACTGAATATGCAGTATATGTAAGAAGAAGCAATAGGAAATTGTTTATACTATTTCTCTATGTGATGACTTGTTAATAACAGGTAGCTAGAAGAAGGAGATTGAAGACTTCAAAGGTGATCTCAACAAGGAATTTGAAATGTCTGATCTGGGTGACATTTCATATTTTCCTGGAATCAATTTATACAAGAGCAGTAGAAGTTTGATGATGCATCAAAGAAGATATGCAGGAGAAATTCTCAATAGATTTGAGATGGAAGAATGCAACTCAACTTTGACACCTGCTGAACCAAGGTTGCAACTGTCGAAAGATTCAGAAGAAGATGATGTCGACCCAACCCAATACAGAAGACTTATTGGGTCATTAAGATACCTTTGTTATACAAGATCTGACTTAGCACACATTGTAGGTATGGTGAGTAGATTCATGCAGAAGGCAAAGGTATCACGTCTAGCAGCAGTGAAGAGGATACTAAGGTATCTCAAAGGAACTCTCAACTATGGTATTTTATTTCCTGCAGTTGATAAGGGAAAAGAATACAAGTTAGTGGGATACACTTATTCGAGTTGGTGTAGTGATGCTGAGGATCAAAAGTCCTCTGCTTCTCTTTGTGCATGTCAAGCAACATGAATGATGAACTTGGTCGAAGAAATAACAAAGAAAGATCATTGAACAATTACCATGAAGATTGACAGCATGTCATCTATCAACCTGACGAAGAACTCGATAGCTCATGGTCGAAGCAAGCACATCAAAATGAGATTCCACTATCTTCGAGAGCAGGTATCAGATGGAAAGATGAACTTGGAACACTGCAGAACTGAGAATCAGATTGCATACATCATGATGAAGGGTGTGCAGGTCAAAGTATTTCGAAGAATAAGAGCTATGATGAATGTAGATAACTTAGACACAATGAATTAGGTGGGGTGTTAAAAGTAATTCCTTGTGTCGAAGTAGTTTGCTCGACAGAGACAAGGAAGTATCGAAACATGGTGTGTCGAAGATACTGCACACAGATTTGATTTTATATTTAAATAGATTTGATTTAGATCTAAAATAGAATATATTTGATTTAGTTAAAAAATATGTATTTTTGGCTTTTATAGTTTTGGACGTTGGCTTAAGGATCAAGCTAATCTAAATCTATAAATATGGAATAACCCTGTTTTTCGTAATCAAGTCAATCAAATTGTATTCACAGAATTTTAAGTTGTAAGTGAATAATAAAGTTTTCCACAGTTTATGAGCAGAGAGAAATTCGGTAGAAAATAATTATTTTCTCTTTTTTTCTATATTTTTTATTATTATATAATAATATCAATTTTATTCATCAAAATTGATAAAAATTCATCATAAATTTCGTAGAGTTTCAACCCCTCTCTATCCTTTTAAATCTCCTCTCACATCTTAAATTTGACTTGTGTAGAAAAGTGATAAAAAAACTATTAGATAAACACGCCAACTTTTTCAAATAAATTTTCAATCCAATCATTATTTTAAATAGAACTACTAGTAATATTTTTAATAATATAATGATTATGATAAAATATAAATCATTCAATGAATCTGACAAGAGATATATTTATTATTTAATAAATTTAAAAATTAATTTCTTATTCATGTTTTTGACCAACATATATTATTTATAATATAAGCTTCGAACTTTCTCTGATTATCAACAACCCCACTTTCAAATCACCAACATCTTCCATTTCAATGGCGAAAAACCATCTGAGCCTCTCTCAATTCCCTCATTCATCATCAATGGACCACTCTTCATCTTCAACATCCATCATCACTAGTAATACACCCTTCTTAGAAACTCCAAAACAACCTTCTCTAAAACCTTATAAAAAAACCATAGTAACAACATTAATGGAAGCTGCAAACTTCACTTCCTCTTCCTTCAAAGAAGACACCTATTTTGTTTCCAGCCTCAAATCCTCAGAGAAGAAAGCATTACGAGAGTTGAAGAAGAGGCTCTCAGCTTCAAAGGAATTCAACAACAATGCTTCCATGTGGGGTGTTTCATTGCTTAATGCTAATGATGATTCTTCTGCTGATGTGGTGCTCTTGAAGTTTCTCAGAGCTAGAGATTTCAGAGTCAGTGATGCTTACACCATGCTCGTGAGGTGTCTTGCATGGAGAAAAGAGTTTGGTGCTGAGAATATTATAGACGAGGAACTGGGATTCAAGGAGCTTGAAGATGTAGTTACTTACACTCATGGTTATGATAGAAAAGGACACCCTGTATGTTACAATCATTATGTTGTGTTCAAAGATAAGGATTTGTATGAGATAATTTTTGGTGATGGAGAGAAGCTGAAGAGGTTCTTGAGATGGAGGGTTCAAGTTCTTGAGAGAGGAATCAAGCTTTTACATTTTAAGCCTGGTGGAGTTAACTCTTTGATTCAAGTTACTGATCTTAAGGATATGCCTAGGAAAGAGCTTAGGACTATGTCCAATGAAATTCTCACATTGTTTAAAGATAATTGTTGTACCCCAAAATTTGCCCTCCCATTTCCTCAACATTTTCTCATCACAAGACCTTTGAAGATCAAGATCCAGTTAGGGTTTCCTCTGCTCAAGACTTCTCCTTGCACTGTGGACTCAAATTAGGGTTTGTGTTTGCCCAAGGATGTTTTGACCTAAAAAGCCTAAGATGACTTTCATGCTTCATATTGGACTCCCAAGTTTACCTATACCAAGTTTCAAGTCTTGATTCCAAGTTTTGCCCAGTCAGTTGGACAGTTGACCTAGAAATCAGCTGTATTGGGGAAAAAGTCAACTATGGCCAATTGACAGTCAAACCTCATGAAATTTGATCCACATCAACATTATGAACTCACATGAACCATTTGATCAAGTTTGGATCACAATTCCATAAGAAATTTGATCAGATCATCAAAAGGGCAAAATGGTCATTTTTAGGGTTTTGACTGCACAAGGGTAATTTTTGACTGTTTGACCTAGTCAATGGCAAACCAAGCTCACATATGGACTCAAGGACCCCATGGAATTATCTTGACATGTTCATCAAGCTCAAAAGATCCCAAGTACACAAGATTGACAGTTGAATTTCCCAGTCAATTGATCAATTTTGACTGTACACTGAAAAGTCAAACTTTGACTTTTTGGTCAAAATCAAGAGTCAAGATTCATTTTTCATCAAAACTTGCCAAATCATGAAACTTGTTCACCAAGAAATCACAAAATGCAAATTAGGGTTTGAAAATGGAATTTTTCATAACTTAGAATTTTTCTAAGTTATGAAAAACCCTAATTTTTTCCCAACTTTGCCCCATCTTTTCACCAAGATCCATTTGGATTCAAACAAAAGTCAAAACATGAAAGTTGTAGCTTGTTGCATAATCTACAACTTTGATTCACAAAGTTTTCTCATTTGAAGCTTGTATCTCAAGTTACAATGTTTTGAATAAGGGCACTAAACCATTTTTAACTTAGTGAAATTTTAACCTATTTTGACAAGGTTTTCTACCCCACTTCAAGGCCACTTTTCATACCCTTCCACTTGGAATTTTGATTTTCATTTCAAAGATGGATTGTAGTACACATTCCAAGCTTTCCAAAATGTCCAGAAACTTCTCAAACAACCTCATAACTTGAGAGATTCGAATTTCACAAATTGACAAAAATTCACTTTTGTTCTTCATCAAGACATGTTCATAATCTTGCAAATTTGAACTCAGCTCACTTTATGCTTGATTACAGGTCCTTGAACCATTCCATACTCAATAATTTAATGCATATTCAATGTGTTAAGACCATGTTCTTTGTGTTCTAACATTGCATAGTGGATTAATCCTAAACTAGATAAAGTGAACTTTCCATTTTTGAAAAGATTAACTTTATGTCCAATTGCAAATCAAGAAGGTACAAGCAAAATCCTTTTGGCACAAGATTATGGGCAAATTGCTCTGATCAAGAGAGGCTTATGCAACAGGATTAGAGGCCCCTACTGACCTAAAACACAAAGTGACCATTGCTTGCTTCATTTTCAAGTAACATTGCATAACTTGTACCATATCTCATCTCAGCTTAGGCACACAAGAAAGAAGTTATCAAACACATTACACATAACATATCCAAGCTTTTGCACGAGTCCTAGACCTCCAACACACCCTCCATATCAGAATCATCCTCAAACTGCAAAAAATAGAGTTGCCTCTGCAGTTTGAGTGCCAACTTCCATTTCCTTCGAGCATTCTTGTCCAAACCTGTTCCTCTACCTTCCTTACAACATATGCAAGCTAACCATGGCCTAAAACCTGACCTGTAATCACCCTAACAGTTTCCACCATTTTCATTTTTTCCTTTTGCAGTTGAAGTTCCATAGCTTGATTCAGAAGCTCTCAAGACAAAGTAAGCATTGAAACAGCATCCCTGGACCTCAAGGAAGCTTTTCCAATCATTACCTTGCACTAGAAGTTCCTCATTCTCCAGATAGAAGTTCAGCTGCACAGGTAAAACTTTGAACTCGTGCCTCTCTTATCATGCATTTTTAGTCTTAAGTTTGTGAAGAAACAAGGTTCTACTCATAGCCCTGAGCATGTACATATCTTTACATTTCATTTCTTTTGCCTGAGTAGAGAGAATTTGTAGTTTGAAAATGGCAGAAAAATTAGGTTAGGATTTGGGGGAGGAGAAATTCTCCCTCATCTTAGAGAGTTAGGTCAAGTTCCATATATGGTTAGAACCGTCTCTTCATGCTGAACATTTGTTGTGTTATGAGTTTTTGCTGAAAAGCCAGGAATCGAGAGTTGGACATTGAAGAACAGGGGCGCGCGTTTTTTTGAATTTTGTTGCTGGAGGTTGAAGACAGTGTTTCTTGGGCTGGGCCTGTATATCTTTTCTTATTCACACCACACACTTGCTATTACACCCCCTGAGCCCATTTGCTTCATTTTTTACTCTTTTTGACTTTTTCTTTTTTGGTTGACTTTGTTTATTTTTTCTCATGATATAAAAAACATAAAAATATTTTTTCCATCTTTTTTTGAATATATGGCATATTTATTTGATTTATTTCTTTTGTTTGCATATAAATATTGTATATATACTATTATTAGAATAAATAGAAAAATAGTGTAAATACATTTTTTTATATTATTTTTTACCTTCTGAAAATATTTCACATAAAAAAATACTTTTTTTATTATTATTCATTTTATTAAATATTTTTGCATATAATGCATATTTAAGAAATTAATATATAAATATATATATATGTTTATTAATATATTCAAGTTAAAATATAAAAACACTTGAATTTTCCATTTTTATTAATATTTGATACAAAAATACTTTTTTTTCATAATATACTTCATTTTATTTTTTATTTATAAATAATAAATAAATAGTTGTATTAAATTAGATAATAATGCATTTTCTTCAAAATTAGGGTTTTTGCCCTAAATTCAAAATACTCCTAAAAATAATATATTTTTATTTTCTTTTCTCTTTTACATAAATAATATTTTTTCATATATATACAAAACATTTCTTTTGCATCTTGCATTCTTATTTAGTTTTTTACATTGATTAATTTGCAAATATTCAAAATGATGTAATAATGTAGGTTTAAATTCTTGTCAATATCCCCATTTGAACATTTGTACCCCCCTTCCCATATTTGGTTTTGTAATAGCTTAGTAATTTTAATTTCGCACTTTATTGCTTTCTAATGATAACATGTTAGAATTAGGGTTTGTATGCGAAAAAACGATAAAAAATAGTTTGACCTAATCTCAAGATAAACAAGCATGAAAATGGACCCACAAATCACACTTGCACCCCCTAGGGTATTCCACTTGTTGCCTTCAAATAAATGGGCCATATTGTATGTTGAACTTCTTTGGGCGAAGCAAACAATTTGAATGATCATAGTCCCTCGACAAAACTTTTCAAAACAAACAAAAACAAATGATCAAGTCCCTTAAAGAAAATTGCCCAAAGACATTTAACGCCGTTGCAATTATGGTCTAAACGATGACCCGCGCCTGTCCCTTTCACATCCTAACACAAGATTGTCCACCAAATACAATGGTGGAACAAACTTGTTAAAAGGGTTAAAACATAGCAATAGTCTTTTGAGAAATCTAGGAGTAGATAACCTCTTAGTTACTTGAATCAAACTTGCAAAACAAAACACTTGCCTAATTTCAAAACCACACAACACTACACTTTCAAAACAACTTTCAAAAACAAATGAAAACCTTTTCAAAAGACCTACATCTTTGTATACATCCCCACATGGATCATTACAAAGATTGCCACCACATTGGCCTCTTTTCAAAATATTTTCAAACCCACACACTCAAGCACCATTTAAAAACAATTGAAAACAAAAGGCAAATGATCTAAGCAAGTAACTAAGAGCCCATGGATAACCATGGATAGAAAGGGTGCTAATACCTTCCCTTTCTATAATCTACTCCCCGAACCCAAGAAAACATCTCAAAAGGTTTTTGCTGTGCTTTTTAACCTTTCCTTAGGATAAAATAAAAAGTCGGTGGCGACTCTTGCTAACCGCAACATTTGCGAATACAAACGCAAAACCCAAGTCAGTTCTCCCACCGTATCATAGAACTGGCGACTCTGCTGGGGATAACTTTTAAAAGTGGAGTAACCTTAGGGCTTAGATCACTTTTGTTTTCAATTGTTTGCTTTGTTTGCTTTTATATTTGTGGGCTTTGCATCGGAGTTCATAGATCCTAACCCGGATCTGGGATATACCCTTTTTAGGTAGCATAATCTGTGAGGGACCTGTCCGGCGTAGACCGACATGGGTGAAGCAGTGGCTACGTTGGTGTGGCATCTTAGTCTGTACCTATATCCCTTGTGTTGTAACGGGGAGAATATAGGTCTTCTAAGGGGTCATTAAACACCAACCAACCTTAGAACCCTAAATTGACCAACTTGGCTATTAGGACAGTAGCAGTATGCTACACTCATTGAGGCTAAACTCTCGAGATGGTTCTGGCCGCGAGAAAAGATTGCGATGCTGGAGTTATGACCGATTAAGGGTAGCCAATGATTTGAGATCCTCTAGAACCCGGTTACTTTTGATAGGACAGGTTTTAACCAACAAAACCAAAAGAGGGTAATACCTGAAACTCATGCTGGCCTGAAACCTAAGGGTGTCTTGTGTGACTTGTGTGCCTTATTTGCCTATGTGAATACTTGTGGTGTGCTTCATCATAGCATCATGCCATCATACCATTGCATGCATCCTGTATAAAAGGCTAACCCATTTCAAAGACAAAAAGGTTTCATCTTTGCTCTGTTTTGTAGGACATCATGATGCCCGTGCGTAGAAATACTGTCCGGCTCAACTTTGTTCAACCACCAGTCTTACTCAAGGATTTGGTTGGAAGGATTCCAAACACTTCTTCCTTCATCAACAGACATGGTTCTCTCCTTGGCTTGATCACTGCAAAATGGGACCAACAACTGATAAGTGTTCTGACCCAATTTTATGACCCTCTGTATCATTGCTTCACCTTTCAAGACTTCCAGCTGGTTCCCACCCTGGAAGAATTTTCTTATTTGCTTGGGATCCCTGTCTTGGAACAAACTCAATTCACTGGTTTGGAAAA